GATTGAACATGAAAGCAAATTCGGCACAACTGGTTTTACATTCTATGGTTATTGTGAATGCTAGTCTTAATGATGATCAAAGGCTTCTTAAGCCCGTAGTGGCTAATTCTAGTTTGGACATTCGATTCGATTCAACATCTATCCCACCAACTGTTATGACTATGTTGATGGTGATGTGGGTACTGCCGGCCTTACATATTCCAAGGGGCATATGAGTTAACGCTTATCAGCATTTAAATAAGCTGTAATTTTGTTGCATCATGAGCCAAGTGTAGTTGTATTTAATATATACCGGAAAGACTTATACCTGCTGATTCCTTGAGGACGAAAGACAATCCTGTCATCTGTACGGCAATAGTAGTGTGGGGAGAAACGCTTCATCGTACACGTAATAACTTTTTCATGTAAGACGCTGCTGTTGCCAACGGATTAGCAGCACAAACCGCTGGCCACAACTTGAGTATTATTTTTATTCAACTCCCGCATGTTAAGAGAGTAACGCGTTGCTAAAAGGTCTTGCTGTGAAGAAACGACTTCCCGGTGTCTACGCTCCCGTCGTCTGGTGTATATCTGGTAAGATTGAACTGTTCACCCACTATAACGTTTCGTTCCTTCCATTCTACTTACAAACCTGTGGGATTTAGCTTGTTTCATCCAATAACGTTTCTGCGTCAAAGAGAAATATTGCCTAGTAAATATATAAAACTTCACAGTTATTGTTACGTTTAGTTTGGTTCCAAGTATATACCAAGTTACTGTGTGACAAATAATGTTCAGAAATATATCGGCACCGCGAATGTTTTTGTTTATTGGTAAATCTGATGATATGTAAACCATTCGTTTGAATCGGGTTCATCGCAAATGAAGCCATGCCATGAACTATCCTTCCTCCATCGGCAAATACAAGACATGACACCGAACCAATCTTGAGCACCGAAGTTAATAATATATGCACATTGGCATTTTTATAAGTATCTACGTACAAATCTTGGCTTCAGCCGGAGCGATTTACTTATCATTCACGTGCCTCATGTAAGGAAAATGATTCAGAGTTTTAAACTATTTTATTGGCAAGCACAGGTAAAGAGCAGATGCTCCTTAATTTGACACCCAGTTAGGTTCACTTGTCTCAGTGAAACATGGTTCTATTTATATGATTGTATAATAATATTGTTAAGCATAAAGTAGGTTGTCTTAGAAGCTTCTCAAACGCTTTTAAGATGCATTTGACTATCAACTGAAGTTAATGCAACACTTTCGTTTGCTGCTGAAGCCCTGATAGCTTTCATATATCGGTCTACTTTTGGGGGATTTTTGACTACATTAATAGAAGCCTTTTAGTTTTAATTGACAACGGTCCTATGCGTAGCGCCAGAACAAACATTTACTAGTAAAGCTATAACGCCGGTCTTTGTAGGAAGAGACTACTGGAACAGCTACTTCTGTCTATATAGATCCTTTGACTTACGCTTCACTTCTAACCTAAATTACCATAATAGCTGAAAACCAAATATACTCTCCTTATCCCCCCGGAGCCCTACTAGGCGTTCCGAGCTGTGCCTTGACCCGTTGAAAGCCCTCGGCACTTAGACCAGCGTTCTTGTGTTTCTCGATTGAGTAAATTTAACCACTACACTTATGAGGGTTTCCTTGAAATTGACTAAATGTGGCAAATGTTCCATCATTCTATGGAATTCATACATGATAAGCACTAGACGACCTGTTGGTAGCTTAATGCTTCTTTTCTCACTGTTCCAAAAGTTGGTTAGAGTGGCAATTCGTTTATCAACAATAATGCATTTTTCTAAGAGCTGGAAGTAAGCGACTGGTGTAGAAACACCTTGTGAGCAGTAATTTCATGAATTTAAGAAATCATTTGTGTTCGTAATAGTTAATTTGGTCAGCTGTTCTAAACCAGACACACATTGCCTTACGGTGGCTGTCTGTGGTTTAAGTTTTCATATTACTCTGATCCTTACTCCATCGTCCGGTAGCATTTATTGGATACCTTTGTCAAATATAGGACCATACACCCGATATCTAGTCACTGCAAGCCACACTCAGGGTATTTTTAGCTGAGCAGAACTCGAGTCTTTCTAATCAACGTATGATCTATATAATGCACACTATTCCACCTCCGTGATCACGACTGTAAGGGTGTGCCTCAGATAGTCGAGCATAAAAGGTTGTTTAGTAATTTATTTATCACTCATTGCTGCGAAACCTACTGCCCTAGCATGTGCGGTCTCATAAGATTTCTGCAGTTGTGGCTTCATGCCATGATCGCTTTGGAATGAAATCATGTAAAGTTCTGCATAATTAACATACTGGGTAGTAAATGCTGCATGCTTCCAACCACCGATAATTAGTCAAGCATTCAAAAGACAGAGGACCACTAGCCATCTCTCGTTTGGCGAAGTTTGCACCATTCGGCAACGGAAGTCAAAGCTGTGCAAACAATTTGATCTCTGGACCATTCTGAACGTGTCTCGGTAAGCCGTGAGTCCAATGATTGCAAGCGATGACGTGATCACCACAGCTTCCAGTTGGTTATCTGTACGATCAGTTTTCACCGGTATACATTTTACTAAATCGCGTATCGGTTACTTAGGAGTCCAACTTTCGGCTAACATCCCAAATGTCCAGGGTCTCGTTCCCACTCATGCCACTCATGTTTACATGATGAGTGTAAGTGAGTACGAAGCCATTCGTGTAATGCGGTGTTGCGAGCGGGCAATAACTGATATCTAACTACTGCATGTGTTTAAACACGTGTTACACATGCCAGCCCACCGACTCCCGTGACGTATGTTGTTTGCGCCCCGGGGGTGTGGATGGAAGAAGAGGAGGGGTGGCCAAGCCATAACTTGGTCGAGAGGAATGAAGGTTCTCACTTCTGAGCTGGCCTCGGTTGGAACGTCTCGGCTCCCTGGTTGGGGTCCGAAAGACGATGAACACGTTTGGTTGGACACACTTGCTGATATGGCTAGGAGCCTACCTCAGTGGCGTTCGTGCTGTGAGTTTCTTTGTCCCACCTCATCCCTCTAAGCCTCCCCTTCCCCTCCCCCCTCATTATTTAGCCACATATAATTTTGCGTAGTAACTTTTTTGATGCACAGTAACCGGCTGGTAGCTTACCAGAACGATGCCCATCCGTTACCGGTAGCTCAGCCGGCTTGCACCAGTTGCAATTTTTTCTCCTTTTTCTGTGTACTGCGGCACAGTAGCTGAGGTGTTCCCCACCTCTAGCTAACGTGTATGAATTAAAATGTGTTTAAATAGCTGGATGAGGACGTACAAAAATAAATGAATCCAGGCTATCCTGCGAAATGTTTGTTGTTGGTTTGCTTAAAATGGAGAGGAATGGTTTGAGGAAAGTCATCGACTGGCATCGCGGTGACGGTACCAGCATCTGAAAGTAATGAATACAGAGTGAGCTTCAGCGATTTGTTGTGAAATTGCGTCACGGCCGCCACCACCCGTGTTGTTAATGCCGAGATAAGTAAAGCTATTAACTTACACTAGGCTGTCACATGCTTTGGTGAGGGCAGACACAAGCAATTGAAAACATTGAGACAAAGTTTTCCATTCGAATGGAGAAAAGTACGATCCAAATCTAGGTCCCTTAATCAGTAATCAGGTTAAAGTGCCTTAACCGCAGCTTAACGTCATCAGAATAATCAAAATCCACGATTCGGTCTGCAGGGAGAAACCCAACTATGCATTTCTGAAATCGTTCTAGGTATGCGAGTCGGATCCAGAAGTGTTACTCGGCATTGTTAGTTAACGGCCGGCACAGTGATCACTAGGCCATTGAGCTCTGCGGGCGAAGTTTTTGGCACTGCGACTAGGTGAACTCACCCATTTCAAAGTAATGTATTTACGTTTGGACTCCGACCTGCACGCTCGCATCGCCCTGCGGCTATGCCCGTCGTAAAAGCATATTACATCTTTCTCTACATAATAAGTCCAAACAATGATATAACTAGTGGCGAAATTCAGTATTTGGAGTCAATAACAATGAAACCGTATCAACCATGGTTACAGTTACAGTGGTTGGAATAACCTACGTTTGCTATAATTTGAAGCGTAGCAGCCCTCCAGAGATATGACAAAGAATCCAAAACCCATATGACGATGATTAGTCCCTTCATTGCTTTATCCAATCTCTGACACTATTACAATAGCAACTTGCTACAACTTCAGATTTATGCAACTGTTTGGAAGCAACACCAGATCACTCCTGAATTTTTATGTTTAATGCTCATTCTGAAAGATTGGGCTGTATTCATGCAAGCATTATTCCGCAGTGATAGGAGAGAACGTCGGTGTGAATTCTACAACCTAACGAATCAACGTTGTTAGCTGCAATCTCATCCTATTTATGGACTTTACAGACTGCATAAGGACTTGCATAACTTGCAGAGTACCATAACATGAATCTTGGTGTAGTTTCCTTTTATCACACGCAAATTAATATATATGTAAAGTAAAATTCGATCAGCCTGTGACCCGCCTACATGAGGAAATGTTCGATGTTCGCCATGTTATCGCTTCAGATGGGCCTCCTACTCTCAAATAAGTTGGCTGCCTCAATTAGTCGAATATGTTGGCAATATAGTGTCAGTGGGAAACATCACTGAAGTTGCTGAGGGTATCAGTAATTGCAAATGAACATTCGAAGAAAACTCAGTAACGGATAGGCTAAAGTACGTTTCGTTTGGTGTGAATTGACTAATCTGAGTGTTTCCTGGATGAAACCGTCACTCTGTTCATTTGCACCCAATGGCTCCTAAATGCCAAAACGGACTGCTCATTCTTTCTAACGTGTATAATATGTTCATTTTTCGTCGCAAATGTGTTGTCCTCTGTAGAACGCACCAAAGTGTTTCACGCCTTTTGGTCTCTTGTTCTCTGTCCTTGAGCACGCAGGGTTTACTCAGCTCTTTTAACCTGTTCCACAATGGTTTGAATAAACGTTGTTTTCTGTATTACCCAAGCTGCAAACAACGACGGAGAACTTAAATTTACGTGTGGAAGCTTCAGAAGCGCGGGCCAGGGCTTTGGAACAAGAGCGGTCACACCAATTAGAAGGCACTTTGGTCAAACTGCACGAGGAACAGCAGCGGTAGGTGTGGTTCCCTTAGCACGCTTAGTAAAATATACGTTCATCTAGTATGTGTGTATATTTTGACGGTTACGGACGTGTTATGGTAACATTCGCGCGTAATCCTAACCAAACGGGGTGAAAAAAGCCCAGTGTTTCCCACTCCTAACACATCATTCATAGCTCAGTTTCTTGCTTATTTTGATACCCTATATAGTACTTACCGCACTGGAAGTCGAAGTCAGCATTTAGAAGGTTACCAGTTGCCTACGTTTTCACTGTTTCTTGGTGTTACACAAGTAGCGACTAAAGTACTCTTTAGACATCCCCGTTGACTTCTGTAATATCCTTTGGACGTATAGGCTATCACAAGTAGCCAGAATTTGAACCGCAAATTACCTTGAAGAAGATTTAAATCAATCTGATTGTTAAGGTTCTAAACGAAACCGATGAGTAATACATTCTGGCACATTTGCGCACCATACCTCCATACAGACTGGCTGCTTAAGTCTCAAACATGTACGCCTTCGAAAACTGATTATGATAGCTCAGCAACTCTGTTTGATCAGACGCCGTGCTGAGGAACTCTCTTGTGTATTTTTAGTTTGAGTCAAGAGCACTTCATAAATTAGGGCTCAGTCTTTTCGATCATAAGAATTGTGTTCTAACGGCGACAAAAGTTTTCTATGTTCACTGCTGGCATCACAGCACTTTACAATTTTTCGCTTACCCTACTGAACTCTTTTAGAAGGCGACGGCTCGTGTAGCGAGGCGAACCGATTCTTTTACTAAAGCACTTGCCCTTCAAAGCGTTGCAAGGCCTGCCAGTTGCTTAAAGACGTCAAAGTTGCCCATGCACCTTGCCATGAGAGCTCTGAGAGTGACGGGCTAATATTGTCAGTGGTTACGTTTCTGTTTTGTGGTCGGATGATGACAAGCGCATCGTGTTGCTAAGTTAGATAGTAGAATTTTAGATAAACGATTGCCAATGCGTAAGTGTTTTCTAAATTAATTATATTCCATTAACTGCTTTGGCCTTGTTAGCGTCTTGTTATTAAGAACCTGTGTTTCACATCCATCCTGTCATAATATTCACATGCATCCGGTATCTCCGTCCAATGGCGTGGGTGTAGCAGTTGAATTTGTACCATTTATGGGTGTGAAAAGCACTTTCTTAACCTGACATTCTTGATTTTGTTTGATATAGATGAATTCAGTGCTCTCTAGGTTACATTAGTCCAGAATGGTCTTCATCAACCGCCACCATGTTTTCCAGTAGGCAACTCAAGGTTTAACATCTGGTTGCGCTTTGAATTGCGCTTCACATGGGGATGTAACTTGGGGCACGCAAAGAACAAGGGGATGACCGTTCGTGAATTGACCTGACTTGATAATGTAAAATACTTAAAGCCAGTTAGCACATTGGTTCTTCGATAAGGATACATGTACCACCAAGACTATCAGGCGTTACTAATAGTTGTACAACTCATATTAAGGACATCAATTGTGAGAGAACCTGATCCCGTGAAGGATCAGATCAATACGTACAGGATTTTACTGCTTGTACATGCGGAGCTCAAAAATATACCTTATGTCCCTAATGATTCCAACAGCCAGCAATTTTTAACAAGGCATTTTTGCACCGGCAACAGTACGTACCATGTATCAGCCTGTGAACACTAGGACTTGAGCTGAGATCTACTAGGAAGACGATAAAGCTCATGCCCGTTAGATAGATCAAACTGAATACAAAATGAAATAAAGTCATGAGGACATCAGAACGGATAAGAAACAATTTGTACAATAGTTTTCAGTGTGAATAAAAAAAGAAAGAGAAATGGGAAAAAGCAATATTTTAAAGAGGCGAGCAATAGTCACAGTATAATAATTGCTTCCTAGACATTAAGTTATATAAGACGACCCTGTAAATCCCCAAAATAAGGAGTAACACTGACCATAGTTTGTGCAAAGGAAACACCCAAAAACTAAAAGTAAATAAGCAGTTAGTACTAAGATAACAACGTTAAATACATTGAAAACGAAATCTCTACAAAGTGTATGCTACTTTGCGGGTTTCAGTGTAGCTGCGAAAAGCGTCCAATTTCAGCATTTGCGCTGAAATTGCGTTGTTGTTTTCCAAGCAGCTTTGGAAGAAAGAGAGGAAAATATTACGAAGTATTAAGTTAAATGAAACTACTGAGCCAACGGAATACAACAGCTTAATATTAATGACTTTCACCACCCTACTACACAGATGTTTTTCAAAGGTGAGATGATTTCGCGTGTTTTTTACCATTTTCCATGTCCTAGATTCTACTTTCCATCCCTTAAGTAATTACCAACCTCTTATTCTTATTCATCACTGACGTGACAGTCTTATTGCCGATAACTTTTATGGTACCATCAGTAGGCGCGTCTCCATTTTTCCAAATAATCTGACTTGTTCATTAGCACAGTGGTTTTGCCTTTATCGGTTTTTGTGATAACAATGTTCGGATCTTTTTTAAGGCCGTTAATGCGACAGTTTCCTCTGGTGCATGATTCGGCTGCACCGGATGCTAAAATTTTATAATGTTTACAAGTTCTGCATGAATATGTTCAGCAGTTGAAGCGGGTACCTTCGTTAAAGCAGTCTCCACATTAGGAATAAATTCTTCGGCTCTTATCTTGGAGTCGTTGAGAGTAAACATCAAATCCTTTTCTAGTAGTCTACACTCTGTCTCACTCAACACTCTATCTGAATTGGCAACTACGTTACAATATCTGTGGCTAGATACATTCTTACTAGTTGGACCGGTAGCCTTGCTAAGTAAGGATATCAACTTGTGAAACTTACGGATTTGTTTTTCTTTTGTGGTCCCTCTTGATTTGACGTAACAACCGAAGCTTTGTTGTAAGGCCTGTCTTCCTCCGTTACGATAGTCTACAACTCCGAGCTCAGTCGATTTGCGTAGAGGCGAACTGCGCCTAGGCATCGAGTTGTCAGATTAATCCGTTGTTTCAAGAATGCTTTACTCGAGTTGGAGGCTATTTTGGTAGAAGTATAAGCGTTGTCCGGTGGTTTGACTACAGGGTTCTTGGGTATGATGTTGTTTTTGAGCCAACTGATGTTGAAAACTCGATAATTCTCCCCATTAGCTTCAAGACCAGCCAATCGACCGAATTCACTTGCCAGTTTTGGAACACGAGGTCTGTAAAGACACGCAACATGGAAAATATTTTTGTTGAAATAAATAATCTTGGAAAATACTTGGAATCGATCGATAGCTCATGATTTCAGGAAATGGGAAAATACATATCCGAAACCATCTCTTTCACCAAGAGTGTATGGCTTACCGAAGAATTATAAGCCCCATGTACCCATTCGACCTATTGTAGATGGCATAGGTTCCTCGACGCATGGACTAGCAATATATTTGGCTGGCATATTGTAACCCTTGACAGAGCAAACGAATACGTTCGTAAAGAGTTCTTATGACTTTGCGAGAAAGCTGTCGAGTCTTGAGCTTGAGTCGGTGGAAATGATGGTCAGTTTCGACGTTAGTTCGCTCTTTACCAACTTGCCAATATGCGACCCTTCAGAGATAGCGAAGCACCGTCTAACTGAGGACAGTAATCTGGGAGAGAGGACGAAGCTTGCGGTAGATCAAATAACGGAAGGAATGAAATTGTGCCTTAACATGTCATATCTCATGTTCCAGTCTCGAGTATACACTCAGGAATTAGGACTTGCAATGGGATCGCCAGTATCCCCTGTATTAGCAAATTTATACATGAAAGATTTTGAAACGAGGGCGCTGACTGACTCTTGTAGCTCACGAAAATTTGGTGGCGCTACGTGGGTGTCACCTTCGTTATCATAAAACGGGATAAGAAAGACGAGTTTCTAAACCGCTTGAACACTCTTGCGAAGACTATAAGTCTCAGGATTAAATTGGAATCTGGCAGTGGAACATTGCCATTCCTTGACTGTTTAATTCACAGGAATGGGGGTAGTCTAAAAACAACGATATATCATAAGCCGACGGACACAGATGGTGTACTCCACCATAGTTCAGGTCACCAAAAGCATGTGTATGCTGGAATCGCCTCATCTCAGTTTCACAGAGCGCAGACCCTGTGCACAGAAGAAGAAGATGGGAAGGCCGCCCGGAAAGATGCAATGAACCAATCGCTTGGTAGTGGATACCCGAGGCCGTTAGTGAAACGTCAGTTGCAGCGGATTTTATATCCTCAATCACGGCGTGCTACCGAGTGGATTGGGACGGTAGGTATTCCTTATAAAAATAGAACTTCGGAGACCACTTGAAGGGTCTTAAGTAAGGAAAACATAAAGGTAATTTTCCATGGACACCAAGCTCCTACTCGCATATTGATGACAATATCAAACATTAAAGATTGGAGCAGCACAACTACAAGCACAAAATACACAGCTACATACACACAAAATGACATACATACATACCCTCTACACAAACACAAACTGCTATAGCAAGCATATCGGAGTTTTGCACATTCTTGGTCATGCATCGTTATGTCAAAATGATCATGCCTGTAAAGGCGTGCCTCACCTTGTTGAGAATAAAAGATTTATTTATTTATTTATAGAAAGGCCAACGATTCGCTCTGCACTAGTACACTTGAAAGACCCACTTCTTACAGATAGGACAACCAACAGCTTTTCTAAAATTAGTTGCAAAGACTGCGCACACGCGTACATCGACCACATCGCGAGGCAGCTACGTACAAGGATAACCGAACACAACAGACGCATAACACGGCCACTGAGAAACGAGCTTGAATATATGGCTCTATTAAGGAGTTCGGCAGTAGCGATGCAGGCGATAGATACAGGGCATGAGATCGACTTGGATAACGTTAAAATCGTTAGAAAGGGTTGCGATCAACTCCCCTGCGGCTTACTGCTCAGGCGGTTGAGATTAGCAAAGTGAACATCTGCGTGAACAGAATGGACGGGGCAGAGCTTTCGAGCGTGCGGCGAGCTGTGTTAACCCGACCAGTCTGAGGAGCGCCGGCGGACGGATCCAGGGCAGAGAATGTACATCACACCATCCCTGTACCCATTGTTAACAGGGCTTCCGTGTATAACCTTGTAACGCGGACCACTTGTGACCGTTCCATATACTATTTGTAGTGATGCGCTGACCTGTAACGCGAATGACCTTCTGCCTACATCCCATTCGACGCAATTATCATCCCAGTCCGCTACAAGTGATATACCCATCCTCGACTGGTTTACTCGACCTCAGGACGCTTTTGTGTCAAAAGCGGAACGTTGTCCACAAACTATACCAACCGGTTGTTTTCATACCTTTTTGAAATCATATGTTGACCCTGTTTATCAAGAAATTCGTGTCTATTCAAATACCCTTTGTTATAAAAGCTACAACTGCTCTACCCTCAAAGAGGTGCGTAGACATAGAACAACATACACATGGTAGACACGAATATGTCTGTCACACTCTGTGTCGTTTGTTTACCTGTGTACATTCAGCTGAATTCTTTATGTGAATCTGGGATTAACATTTACATAGTTGCATTTTCTGTAGCTGCTATGGCATTGGTATGCTAACTGTGTAACGAATGCTTGCCAGCTATTTAGATTAATGACTATCGGAGTTTGTTCGAAACTCCATCAGCTTTAGATTAACTCGTTGGAACCGCTGTCTTTACATTTCCGTCTTACTTCAGTGCAAACGAGTTAATTCAGACGAATGAAATTCTCCGAGATCAGCTGAACCAAGCAGTACAAGCTAATCAGGGACTCAGTCAGGATGTAGCTCGACTCACTTTGGCTTGGCGTAACGCTGCGCAACAGCTGGACAAACGTGAGACAGAGTGGCGTGAGGAAGAGAGTGCTTTCAACGACTATTTCGCGGCGGAGCACAGTCGGTTGCTCGCTCTTTGGCGCGCAGTGGTCGGGCTGCGGAGACAATTCGGTGATTTACGGCAACACACTGACCGAGATCTGATCTATGTGAGTGAGCAACTTTGAGCTGTACGCTGTGTTTGAGAATTTTTCTCATTTTAAATACGTGAGGTTCTTACGTAACCTACATGACGGAGTATAACATGATAACCCGTACATGAGTGTTCCATAACCAGATGTCCCATTGATCACCTCAATTATCAGGCTCGCAACGAGTTAACTCGATATGTGCGCAGTATACAGTCAGTGTGCGGTAACCTGGAAGTGAACATACGCGCCGCGGAGGCCGAGGCTCAATCACATCTAAAACGGGAGTCTAAACACGCCACGGCTGTGGAACTTGAGGCTGCAGATCGGGTGCGCTCGCTCACGGAATCACTTGCGCGCAGTCAGGCGCGGTTGGCGGAAACGGAGCACAAAATGACAGAGCTGGTTGCTGCGCGGGAGAGGCTTGCTTCACAGGTGAGTACTCATACATACTTTAATCTGCTGATTACACAGTCACAATTTGTCTGGGGAGCGATGGGTAAACGTTGAAAACTCTGCTTCTATGGCCGAAATAGGTAAAGAATTGCAGATGCGACATGAGACACTCGCTGAAGCTGCCCAATCTTTGTGTCAAGCTCATGGTTGAGTCCAGTGGCCAACTAGTGTCCTAAATGTAGTTTATCTTTATGAACGTTTTAATGAAGAGACTGAAAGCAAGCAAAGTGCTGTCACCACTGCCTCAAGTAGAACTTTTACATTTCGGTCTGTTTTGGCTTTGTAACCGCTGTTTATCACATCCGAAGCGTTCACACTTTCGCCACCACCGAGACGCTAAAACTTACCGATGTTAATGGTTTTATTCGATGTATACTAAATAATTACGCTTGGCACGCAAAAGGTCGGTCAACTGGACTCCCGGATTGTTTACATTTAAATGAAGCGGTTTTAAATGCTTTTTGGTTACGTGCAGCGACGAAGTTAAGCGCGCTGTACTTATCTTAAAGGTAGCTGCTGTGGGGCCCATCTAGGAATTTTATGCTTTCGGTTCTTCGGGTCATCCCAATCCGTCACAACGACACTGCACCATAGCATGGTGCGACGATTTGCGGTCTATTGGGCGCAAACAAAAGCGGAGTCTGTTGGTTGCCAACTAAGTCGGTGGACCCGTAAGACTCAAACAATAGAGGACGCGAGAGCACTAGGCAGTTATCACAAGCTGTTTCATCTGATCCGCGCCACTTGTCCCAGACAAGTAGTCGTCAGTGAGACAAGTAGTGACGGCGCAGATGCACTGATTCACAGTAAGGGGCATCGTGTGGCTCGTTGGGTGGAGCACATTTGAAATCGGTGCAGTTGGCCTCCTGTTTCCGGACCCCTTTCTACTCAGGTGAAGCACGCTTACCTATGGACGCATTGTCTAGAGGCTGCATCAGCAGCTAAGGTCCGAAAAGCGATCGCGTCTATTAATCGTTTTCGTGCTTCTGACCCGGATCCACTCATGCTCACATCATTTAGGTATGGTATTGAGGTCTCCTGAAAAACACTAACTACCTGTTCGAACAGCTTCAGAAGAAAGAGACGATCCCAGACAAATGTAGTGAACCGATTATAGTGGTGATGTACAAGTAACGCAGTCGCATTGACTGCGCTATTGCCTAACACCAGTTGTGAAAATATACTGGCCTCAAGTCTTGTTGGTCACCTCACTGCGGAACGAGAATCCCGCATCAGGAAAGAGCAGGCAGGTTTTCGTCCAAAACGTGGCTGTATGGACCACATATTCACTCAGCAGCTGCTGATAGAGCAGCCACACACAATCGCAGGCTCACAATAGTTGTGTTCCTCAACTTCAAGAGTGCAATCAAAATACTTTTTTGGAAGGGTGTACCATGAAATTTGTGAACAGTTTACGTGCCCTGCACCCGAACACCATAGACCGCCTCAGGGTCTGCCGTGATTTATCGCAAGACTTTCCGATAACAAGTGGTGTTTGTCATGGTTGCCTAATTTCCCTACTTTTTGTTTAAATGTGCAGTGGATTGCAGCATAGAGTTTTCTCTTGCGCAGCCGCACGATGCAGGTTTTGAGGTGCTGTCTGTGGAAAAACTAGTTGCTCTTGATTATGCGGACGACATTGTCTTGCTCATATTGTTCTGCGTTCCCTTGGCCACCGTAGTTGTACGGATTCGAAGTAGCAGTTAGAATGGCTGATGTACTGCTGTTGTTGAGGATAACGTCATCTCAATTGGTAATTACTGTTAATGCTGTACCAGTGAATTTACCCACACAGCGCGCGAAAGGATTAAGCTAGAGGAGCCGTTGATATCATATGTGAAGATAGAGATGGGAGTCTAATTTGATTCAAATTTAACTCCCTTGCAAATAGTCACGAGCCATCAATGTTTTGTAACCAGTTCCTCCAGCCGATAAGCAACAGAACTAACGCAGCCATTCCATGGCAATAAGCGGGCCCATTTAAACGGTAACATTTTGTAACTACTAGCCCATGTGGCCCATACTGGTGACTCTATCAACTTGCGATCCCAATGTGTGTGATCTGATCGGTCTTATAGACTTGTCTATTAACTGTTAGTAATTGCTGATGGTTCACTCAAGTCCTGTCATGGTTTATCCACGACCGCTGCTTCCGGTGAGCAAACCGAACCAATTTATTATGAATGACACTTGGTGGGACGATTTGTCATAAGTTACCTATATAGTAAAAAAGCACCACAAGTCTGCTCGTTAAAAATATTGACCAACGGTAAGCCATACTGCAGTTTATTTAGATAGCCTTCGAACACCTTCAAAGTGCGAATATTGCTAATAAAATAATGTGTTCTCTTGATGTTCATTCACAGTTTACCAACGTCCTCTTAAAGCAGACCGTGGAATACTTGTGTTTTACGATGGGAATGCAACTTGCATTACCGAAACCCGTGGAATACCTGAACCATTTAATTTTGTTATGCATTGAGTATGTTCACTTCTTGTTACAAGGTGAGTCCTACCGACAGGTGGACGGCGTTGCTGTGGGAAGTCAACTCTGCCCTACGCTAGCAGCTATCTTTATGGCACTGGCCGAATCATTTGTTGAACTACACCTTGACCAGATGTGCCTGTACAAGCGGTACTTTGACTACAAGTTGGTGATCACTCCAAACATCAATGCCGCCAAATCCCTTTTCGAAGCGATAAACAACTTCCATCCAGATGATGGATTTACATGTGAAGAGGAGTATGTCAACTGTCTTGTCTTTCTGCATGTGCTGTTGACAAGGATAACTGATGGTTCGATATGGCGATCTGTCTACCGAAAAGCCACTTGGACAGGACTATACGAACATTTCAGTAGCTTCACACCTGTCCAGTATAAAGGCTGCCTCCTCAAAACCCTGTTCCAATGAGCTTGTAGAATATGCAGCACCGAGTGGTTGGAGTACGAATTGCAATTTATTACGTAGGCGCCGCAGGCAAATGAGTACCCTGCAGCCTTTATTACTTTCCACGGTCGCCCGATGGAATAGAACGAACAGACGTCTCCTATTGTGTCAAAATGCCCGCCTATCTCCAGTTGCCATTTATAGGTGATGTCGCTGCAAAGCAAGTCGAGCGACGTGTAGCCACAGTAATTCGACGAACGTTCAGAGTAGCCAAACTGGTCCCGCTATGGACAATCAGGAAGTTACCAACACCTCCAGTCAAGTTTACCTAACCGATCTCCGCCACAACATATTGCATTTACCAATTTATCCGTGGCTGCGGAAATAGTTACATCGGAAGAAAGAATCGGTGTCTGCGTGAGCAGGTCGGATAACACATTCAGAAGTGGGTTGATACCACTACGAGAGGTCAAACACGAGGACAAGCTTTGAGCTTCAAAATGCCGACCTCGTCGATTGCTAAGCCCTTGCTGAGTACAGGTCATCAAGTTGACCCGGACTTGGCATTTGCGGTTATTTACCGCAATACAAGTGCCAAAATACTCAAGTTAGCCGAGGCTGTGGCCATCAATCGCAATCGCCCTGACCTCTGTGCACAAAAACACTTGACTGTCACACTGAGGCTTCCGTGGAGACCATGATGCTTGTTTCGTCAATTCTGATTCAGCATTCAAATTATTAATTCTTTCCCTCAGCGATTGTTTAGTATGTAGCTCGTTTGCATTTGATCAGAGAGCACGAAATGATATCATCTTGCAACATCCGTCTGCTCATTTTACCGTTTGGAATGATAAAAGGAACACAATGCTTCAAGTTTATGTAAAAAGTGTCTGAGCTACAGCTATGATGAATCTGATACACTAGACTTCCTATGGGATCCCATTAACACCGACACTTATGAGAGGAAAGGCAAACGAGATTAGGGGTTAAGAACGGTGTGCAGAGATCTCCAAACACTCGTGTGCAGGCTAACACAACTGGGCACCTTGGATCCCCTGGGTACAGGGAAGAATAAACCATTAAACTTCAAGCGAAAGGGAGATTCGTAGGGCCGCTACTTACTCACTCCTAACCTCGCGGTATTATCTCGATCTCGTAAAAGACATCGCCTGGATTTTATCAACATTGTGTTTCGACAACCGGACACTCGTCATCATTAACTATGCCTAATACGTACAGGTAGTACCAAGCTCTTACTGCAATGTCTTCTTTGTGTGAAGACAGTGATACGAAACCAAGCAGCGGACTATCCTTTTTGTGACATATAAACAGCCTGTGAAATTTCTAAATCAAGGAAGCCAAGATTAAGTTTATCCTCTGCTCCTAATATTTGGATCCAGAATGCAAATGTCACCGCCTGATAGATACTCAGAGTAAGCTGACATGCTGTCATCTATCTTCTCTGCACTCGTATGAGCAGTTCATAAACACCGACAATGCACTTAATTCATCGGGTCCCCAGCGTAATTGGGCTCTGCTTTTATTATTGTTCTTGTATGTCGCATACCTATCGTACTTCTTTAAATGACATACGGACTGTGATCAGCACGGGTATCGGCACTACTGGTCTTAGAAGAATAGTGTTTGTTGTTAGGGAGGAAGAGGTGCAATCTTCGCGACCACGCTACGCTTTAAAGGGAATCTAGTTACAGTATGAACTATAGCCTTCCTACATTGTTGGATACAACTGTTCCATTCGTCCCAAGTTACTTATATAAAGGTAACCGTTTTTCCCACTTGCGCTATTCCGTTCTGCAAATATTAGTTCCCCACAAAAGTTTCGGTCTCCAGTACGATAATTATTATTCAAAGGCTCCGAAAAGAATAACGTAGTAATGGTATACCCCAGAAAACAAGGAACTCTCTGAGTTAACAAGTCTGCTCATTTTGATTGAATAAGTCAGGTCGGTATGATTTAAGCAGCACACGAGTGGTGAACTCCATAAGGTCGAAACAGGGATTTAACCTAACGAGCTTTGCGGTGGGTGTACTGGATGGCACGTCAACGCCTCCAGTACTTCAAGATTACTC